TGCCAATGAATTAGCTCTTTATTTCTGATACGGCGGCCATCTTGAATTCCATCGTTTTAAGTAAGACATTATGATATGCCGAGGGGGCAACTATTAGAAAATTGCACAGCTGTCAGGGTGTCTTTTTATATAACTTTATGCTTTTCAATGACAAGCACATCTTAAAAAAGCGATCGAATTCGCTGGTAGTTGCAGAACAATATGCGAAACACCAAGACTTCAAATTATTTGAAAACGTAACTCCGCCAGTCTATGGTTTATGAATTTTCTACGCCTTTGCCCCTCCGCATCCCATAATTCAATCTGGTGGCCGTATCAGTAAAACGGTCTATTCCAGGAGTTTTCAAGGCTATAAACTTCAAAATTACAGAACTAGTAATCGGAAATACGTCCGAGTAACAAAAGTCCCCCAGGGGACCCTAGTGAGGCTATTTAGTTCAGTTTCAAAGAAAATAACACAAACGTTGCTAATGGAGTACCTTGGTCCTGTTCTGAGAGAGCGAATAATGAGGCATCCTGGTCTACCATCGGTACAAACATCATGCCTTATATGGTGTTGTTTGTACTGAAGCTAGACCACAATGCATCCTGTTTATCGAACTCGTGAAGATCACATCTGATTACAACAAAATAACAGGACTTTTTCAGGATTTGGTTTAAAAAATGAAACTTTCAGCTTTTCCAGATAGTGCCTGAAATAAATTACTGGAATTTCAAGGACCTACCATGCTCTGGTATTATCTTGTAGGCGAGAGAACGACTGTCCAAAGAACTTCCACGACGAACAACTGTAAACTCGAAGCCATCTCCTTCCTAGAAGTTTAAATGACTCCGTTATACTGACATATCAAAACGTTCCACAAGCCCTACTGCCCCTCTTTTATTTTATCTGTTGCTGTCATTTAAAACTGTTTTATTTCTGCTTTGCTCAAACTTTCTGACGAGACGTTTTTCAGCTGGTGAAAAAATTATAACAACCAGCCAATCAAAGTTGTCAGTATTTTTGGCGCGAAACGAAATGCATCCTCGACCACGTCAACCGCGACTCTGTCG